CATAGTATAGTATGTCGAAAAAAGTCATAAAAAAGCCATAGTATGGTTTTTAAAACACTATGGATATTTACTTTAGGACTTATACACACCCTTACATGTACAAAGAAGGAAAACAAACACACCATAACTTAATGAGTTTATTTGTTTCAGCACTGTAGATGCTCACAGTTATTTTATATGGGGATTACATCAGTCACTTTTGTTCCTGCTCCGTCAAAAGACCGCTCTGGTCCTTAGAATCATCAGATGTCCTTGGTGCTGCTAGCTTCCCATTTTAAAAAACAGAAAGGAAAGTGAACTATAGGGTATTGCTTTATGTTTGGGTACTGATATCCCCTCACTGTGTCTCTTCTACCACCAGATAGAGAGAGCAGACATCCAATCCTTCCAGAGAGAGGTACAGAGTAAAGGAAGCATCGTTCAAAACTTTGTGCACAAAATATGGAGGAGGAGGTAGGGAAAAAAGATTAGCGGGATTGAGGGAACAATAAAAAAGAAGGCCAGAAATAAAAGCAGAGAGGGTAAGAAGTAGGGGATAGAGAGGAAATCTAGAAAGTTTAAAAGGTAATTTTGTGGAGAGAGAATCGATGAAGGCTGAGAGAAGGAGTGAGTTTGGCATGGAACATGAACACTAAAGCCATGCAAAGAAAAGCTCATGTTTGACATGCACACATCACTACAGACTAAAAGCATAGAGCAGGAATCCCCAGCATTGGTTGAGAAGACAATCAACCCCCACGGTTTGTCTGTATATTTACAAAGAGAATAAGTAGATTGGGATCTGTAGAGTCCTTCTCCTCAGGCCCGGCCTACACGCACAATAATATGAAACTGACAAATATCAATAGAAGAGCATATTCCCTCTCCAAAAAGAGGCTACGTCTACATTCTTAAATTACTGGTAAATGTTTTTTTTTTTTCTTCAAGAGTTCCCACAAGTTCTCTTTCCCTCTACAGAGGTCAGGGAAAAGAGAATTTGTTACTCGATGTTCACATAATTCTGTTAAATGTCGACCAAAACTAAAGAAAAAAAAGTTATTTTTTCTTCAAATGTTGCCCCATTTACGAACACACAAGAGGGTAATAAATAACATTCAACTGACCTAACAGCTTTGTTCATATAAATAGCCAAGTTATCATAAATTAGGAAATCAAACAGTGAGATGAAGAAACGTGAATAAATAAGGACAGAAATACAAAAATATCCACAGTTGCATTTGTCACGTCATCATTTTTTTTTGTTCCTCTACTTCTAACTGCTGGTAAGTGAGGCTAAGAGAGAGGTATAAATAGAAAACCAAAGACAAAGTGCTGCAAATAACACAAACAGGAATGTTTTGATCATAATTAGCTCAATCAAACAAAGACATAAATGATCATGTAACAAAAATACACAGACAAATTTAAAATAACAGAATGTGCCAGGCGCAGGTTTAGCAACCAGACCCGATGGTATCTAAACTTAGCGTCACAACTAGACATTTCATTTTTTTATACATAAGAAATGATATCAGTCTGTACAACAGAATAGATCATTCATTTTAAATACCCAAATACCCACCCTTGTCCCTCCCCCCTCTACCCCATATTATCATATCATCTCCCCCTCGGCCCCGTTCTGCTCACACCCAGCTCCTCTCTGAAATCACAATTCCAGTCCATTTGCAGCAATAGTGTTAAGTCTAATAAGTATTTTAAACCCAGTTTTTCACAAAAAAAGTACATTAAAAAGCAAACAAATACAATCCAGCAAGCATCCGCGTCGGCCTTTTGGGCTTTCTACAAAACCCCTCCCACTTCTCTCCTCCTCTGAATCAGTCAGTTTCTGCGTGTCTTCTTTTTGTTGTTGTTCATGTTCTTGTTAATACATCCCAGAGTTTTCTGTGCAAACTGGACCTGTGCATGTAAGCATGTACATGTTTTGTGTGTGTCGTGTCTTTTTGTAAAATACTCGTTTCCATACGATGAACACTCCTTGAAAGGAAAGGGGGCGGCTTGGTTAGGGGGAGTCTGCGTTTTTTTGTTCCATTGGGATTTGTGTGGATTAGTTGTGCACATGTGTGTGTGTCTGCGTGTTCCTAAGACGGGGGAACACAAAAGGTATTTTCCTCTACTTCTACTGATGGCTGCCAGAGGTGGAGAAGGGGCGCAGAGGGAGATGAAGGTAGAAGTCTGCATGAAGGGGTCTGTTTCCATGGTAACCACCCCCCCCCCCCCCCCCTTTTTCAGCGCACCTCTAAAAAACCGTCCTCCGTCAACAAATGTCCATCTCTATCGGCATGCTCGGGGGGGCTGTGGGGGTGGAAGGGTGGTCGAGGGAAGGCGGACAGAGCAGGGAGCAGGAGGAGGGGCTTAATAGGTTTTCTGGATAATTCCTGGTATCAGAAACAAGTCAGGGTCATCACACAGGTTATCAGCAAGGGAGCCAAAAATCAGAGCAAGGGTCATAGGCTTTTAGATGGTTGAGGTAGAGGGGTGGATGATGATGGTGGATGCTAAGGGGTCGTGAAAAAGGGAGTGGAAGGACTGGAGTGTGTGTGTGTGTGTGTGTTTGTCATGTAGGTGCAGTATGCTGTTTATAAAATATGAATTAGATTCTCTTAATATATTTCTATCTATATAAAGTAATTTTATACAAAAAGAATTTCCATAAATGATTATGTACACCTAGTTATGTACAAATATTCTCTCTCTGTGCCACTGGTTTATAGTGGTACTGGGATGAGTTTTAGCACTGGCTCGACTACGCGGCCTCCCGATCTAAGACTCCTCCTGTGTCCCCAAAGACGCCACCGACAGCTTGACTCTGTCTCGGCATTTGGTGTCATTATTTTCTGGCTCGTGCCTCCGGACGTGAATGGGCGAGGGGCAGTGCTTGGTGGGCGTGCCAGAGGGGTAGGGCACCTGTCCGTTCTTCTCGTCTGAAAAAAGTTGTTTTATTACGTCAAAGAAGTTACTCAATGGGCTGCCTAGGTACACAGATGGGGGGGACAAAAAGAGGACAAAAAAGGGAAAAGAGAGAAGAGAGAGAACAAACAAACTAATGAACAATGGGGTTCACAGGACAGAGACGAGGCTACACGTAAGAACAAGCAGAGGCGAGGAGGACTGACAGACGCAGCGAGGGTGAGAGCTGCTGGTGCAGCCATGTCAGGACGATAAACCATGCATATGTAACAGCACAACCAATGAAAACACACAAGAGCCATTCAATCTCAAACTAGAAATGAAAGCAAATAGGGGGGCTGACCAAAGTCAATATAGGCTTCTGTAGCCTGATGCTACAGTAAGCTTCTTTAACATATGAACTGTGTAATGCAGAACGAGGAAGCGTGGTGAGTCATCTGTGTGAGTCGGTGCCCAAGCAGTTTGGGACAGCCAGAAGCCGGGCAAATGATGGAAGGCGGACAATGTGAACGCTTGTAGCTTCCAGACAACGTTGCCCTTGAAGGATAATAAATCAGTGTCTCCTCTCCTTTTTGCTAAACCTAATCGTTTGTGGAGGTTCTGCAGGCTTCATTAGAGAACCGAACGGCGACTTGAACCTCGGCAAAGTGCCGATGATGGAGGCTGTCTGTCTCGTGGCCATTGTAAGTGAAGCACATCTAACACAGTAATGTCTGGACTTAAATCTGCTCGGAGGAAACAGACAACCTTTGATCAACACATTTGTACACTTCCGTTCGGAGTTTTTACACTGTAGCTAACGATTACACCTGGACAAAGACATCAAACACGCCGGGTGGCTGCATTATCATTGTGCCAACTCTTTGAAGTAAGAAAAAGTCCAGCTCATTCTGTGTGCTGAATAAAATGGGTGAATATGCTGAATAACACAAGTTCATATCTTTCTAACTGCTATAGGCACACTTGAGTTTGTGTGTGTGGGTGTGTGTGTGTGTGCGCGTCAGACAGTATGCATACAAATGATCTTCAGCTGAACACACTCGCTCTTTCTGCAGGGACCCACTGCAGGTATGTGGAGTGGTAAGGACACAACACATGAGAAATGGAGCAAATAAAGAGTCAGAGTTGTTTTTGTTAATGCTGTTTACACAGCGCAACTTTGGAAACTATCAGTCACAAACAGGACTGTTTCTGAATAGGTGGCAGAAGATCCATTTGCACAATAGAGTCCTTTGGGCCGACAAATGAACAGCGACAGCATCAGTAGAAACAGGCAGGGGGTGCTGCACAGAGGACAAAACGCACACACACACACACACACACACACTGGACCGCAGAGTCTGTGTCTGTGTATCAGCACTTAATAAAAGGCTGTTGGAAAGCAGAATTTCTCAGCCTGACAATATGCACATGCTGCCAGTGTTAAGACTGCCTGCAGTAGTCTAGCAATTCGGCAAACTTCATCTAATCGTGAATGTGTGTTTGTGTGTGCCTATGTGTGCCTCTGTGTGTATGTGCCTCAGTTGGCTTCGTCTGCTCCATTATCCTGCTGGAAAATGGTTGCAGCCAACTTCTCCGTAATGTTCCCTCTTCCTTTCTCATGTGTGAAGACTTTCTCCATTTACTCACTTCACTCCACCCAAATCTGCACATTTCCACAAATGGCAGGAAACTCATGAATCTTAATGATCTCAGCTGCTCCATAAAAGAGAGACGGTACCCTCTAAATGAACGGTTCTGCTCTGTAGTCCTACAGTATGCTACCTGCATTCATCTACACTCCTTTTATTGTTCCACGCCCTCCTATTGTCTCCCTAAGCTGGGCTCCCAGGTATGCTTCTGTTAATGGCGATTAGGGGACATAATGGCCAAGACTTGATGAAGCCTTTTGTTTGACACACATTGGTATGCAAAGCCATTTCTATTCTTAATTACAGCCAGTGACTTCCTGCAAAAGACCCTGTGGTCAGGTAGCGCCAAAAGTGTGTTAGGAGGTCACAAGGAAGTAGGGAGGTGGAGGAAATCAATTACTGATAAGCACACACTGACCTGTTTTAAGATTTATATTACGGTGAGAGATACTCTGATAGAGTAAAGAGATGAAATTCATTTAGACTGCCCTTGGTCAAAAGAAAATGACATCGATTTTTTATCCTCAATTGATCAGCTCTGTAAGTGTTGGGAAAAATCTAAAGTACTAATTAGTATGCGTTTAATAATTAGTGAATGTTATGCATTTAACAGAGGCTCATGTCGTTTGTAGGTTTTAAGGCCTGTGTCCTTGTGTGAACTATCTGGGACACCAGGCATCTTCAGCAGATGTTTAGTCTATCAAGAAGCAGTTGATTGCCGAAAGAACACTTCAGCTGTTTGTCCTGAATAAGAATGATAATAAACTTGTGGAACGCGTCAATACTTACGCAGGGCTGATTTGCGACCATGACTTACGAGAAAGTGACCTTCGTACTAGAACGAATTGTTAAAGTGTCCAGATACGTAGACGCCTGTGTAAAACGCGAAATGTGTGTTACCCTGTGCCAGCCCACTGCATGTTGTTTACTTAGTATAAATACCAGAGACTCGGAGGCAGATCTTTGAGCAGTCTTGATGTACATTCTGTATGTGAATCAACCCTGTCTCCTTCTTTGCAAAGAATAAATGTCCAATGATTAATGATTTTTACACCAGTCTCGAGTGAATTTTTCTCACAGTAAGCCTATCACTATTTATGTTTTTTGTCATATCCTCAGTATCCTCTATTGATAAACGGTTCTCATATTGACACATTGAACCTAATGTAATATAATGTTTTCCACTTTTAACCTTCAGTCTGTTAATAAGCTCAAACATGAAATATCAGAAGTAACTGGTAAACTTAGGGAGGTAAGATCATCACAGCAGCTGTGATGATGACTGCTGTTCATTGCTGAGAGAAATATACAGCTCACACGTGTAACTGATGGTATAGTAACAGAGTAAAAGCTGTATCATGGCTAGGTTTAAAGGGATAAAGACACAAACATAGAGACACCGAGATTATGATTCACGCATGAGATGAAATTGATATCCAACGAAAACAGCACACCTTCCCCTGATAGAAGCGGTGTATCTCAGGCTGGTGGTGTTTCCCTATGTGACCAGCAAGTGGAGCTGTTGTCAAGATGATGACGACTGAGACTCACTCAAACAGACCAGTGATTCACAAGGAAGGACATGCTAAAGAGCAGATGGGGAGGAGTGGGATCCCTATTTCTCTCTTCTTTTCCTTTTTGTCATCCAGAAAAAGGATGTAGCCACACTGGGGAAAGAATGGACTTATACAGCTCCAGCGCCTCAACATGATGGAGGAATATTTAAATAACGTCACAAAGTTCACAGGTGAACGGTTAGGTGGGGATTGAGGTAGCCCGTCAGAGGTTTTATATCTCCTTGGTGCCTTTGGAGGCACCAATAGAGGCTGGTGGACGAGGGAAAACAGGGGGAGGGGGTCCTATTGTACAAGCACCCAGAGAGAGAGAGCAGGTGTGGTGTCACTGTGCGGTGCAGTGCATTGTGGGAGTGCGTTGAGGTGCAGTGGTGTTGCCATGGTGACAAGCTCCGACGATCAGTCTTGGAAGTAGGAGTAACAGAATGCAAATCAGCTTACCCTACCTCCACTCTAATCTCCACTGCCAGGGCAACGAGACAACATTTGACCCGCAGTCGGTGCTTGAGAGCAACTCCCAACCGTTTCATGGCAGTGAGGCGCAGGCATGCAAAGGAAGCCGTTTTGAGAACCGGAGAGCGGCTCGGGGATTTCAAGCACGGGGGAAGAGGAAGGCAGGATTTAGCTTAGCTTCAGCGGTGAGAGTGGTTCGTGTGTGGGTGGGATGGGCGGATGAGGCGGTGGGGGTAAGGGTGGAGAGGTTTTAGATACGATTTTGAAATATTTTTCTTTTGAAAAGAGAAGTTCCTACTCACCAGACAGCTGTTGGACCCCTGGCTGGTCATGTGTGCTTAACAACTGGCTCTGAATTGTCTCCACTACTCGCTTAAAGCGTCGACTGGGTCCTAAACACAGTCACACAAACAGGAAAGATGTGTCGCGTCACAATCTACAGGTAGCAGCAATAAGGCAGACAGAGTGTGTGTAGGAACTATATAGATGGATTAATTAAGAGAAGAAGAAGTAAGGGTGTGCATGGTGTGAAAAGTGAGCTGGAGAAGCTGCAGAGAGCCTGAGATGATAGATGGAGGCCAGAGAGAGGTGTTACTGTAAGCCCCTACTGTATACCTGCTGTATACAGTATGTGACATGGAAGAAGGCTTAAGTGCCACTACTTAAATGTGCCCCCCCCCCCACACACACACACACACTTGTTTGTGTGAGTGAGAAAGAGAGGGAGAGAGAGAGAATTGCTTAGTATGTAATCTTGCATAGCCAGACCTCATCTTGTTACACTCAGGGAGGTTTGGGGGGGGGGGGGGGGGGGGATCAAGCATCCAGGATTGCAAGAACTTTGAAAAAACCTTAGGCAGCCATTCTTTTTGGCAGTGAGTTTGAGACACCCACATTTATAAGCAGAACTTCTGGTTTATTTTTTGGGCTGGATACAAACAGATTCATTTTATTATATTTCAGTGTGACAGCATCCCACTTGACATGTGAGCGATACTCTTTTCCACACTTTTCAAAGTGATTTGTGAGAGTTGGATTTCCCTGGACCTCAGTGAGACAGACGAGATGGAATACTGTTTATCTCATAACGTGTACTGTGTGTTACTCCGCCTGTGATCTGTCATCTCACAACAGCAAGGTCCTAGGTTTGAACATGACCCTTTCTGTCCATTAAAGAAGGAATCAAATACCGATTCAATTCAAGGCATGCTGCTTCAGTGAAATAAATAATAACTTTTCACTTGTTTATTTACACAGAAGATATTGGTACTTTCTCTCTCTGAGTGAAAAAGAGTTAAACTAGTAAAAGTAAAGTAGCCATATTTGCATTCATACTTTTATGCCTGGGGACCCTACTCTCTTCTCATTGGCTCACAGACCTGGGCTCCCCAGATGTGAGGTCTGCACCTAGTTCGTCTTGTGACTGGTGACCTGTTCAGTGTGCATTGTGCCCGATGCATTGCAGGATTAGCGGGTAGAGAAAAAGAGGGTGAGGAACTTGGTGTGTGACGACAGTGTCCTGACCTGAGAGCAGGGTGAAGGTGACAGAGTAGATGCCATTCTCCTTCGTGGCAGCTGTGCTCTCCGTGTAGGTGATGTCCACCTGGAATTTGACCGGCTTCTGGAAGACTGTCGGGCCGGCTGTGGACTTGTACTCTGCTCGGAAACTGGTCTGGGAGATCACACTGTGGCTCAGGCTGGGGATCTGGGAGAAAGAAGAGGAGAAGTGAGGAAAGGCAAAATGGACAAAGAGGCAGAGATAGGAACAAAACATAGGTAGTAAAAAAACATGAGTAATGGGAATATACATCGGGAGCATTGATGTTATATTTTTCTCCCACACCTGGCAAATGAAAAGGTGAGTAAACCCTCATTAAAATACCCTCCACATACTACGAGCCACAGTTGAAACCCTCAGGAGATTAATGCCTTGGGGAGTAGCCATGCATGCCGGGGAGACTTAAGCTAATGTAATCTTGAGTCATCCAACAACATTGCACCCTCCCACCTAAAATGAATTTGTATGCCCAATATAGTCATGTTTCGCCATAGTGCTGGAGTGGGTTTGACATTCCATTAATATGAGTGTGGTGAGAGGTATAATTCTACTGATTCAGGTGCCAATCTCCTGTCTGGAATAGCAGCTAGTAGAACCCAGAGGGGAAAAGAGCTACCTCCAGGGATGAGGAAACAGATTTGACATTGACCTGCACTGGCAGAGTTTGCATTTACTTAGACTTTGTTAAATTTAACTGGGGTGAGGATAGGCTTTGTTCAATTATGTATACTGAATATCAACTACCACTGCTCAGCGTTTGTTGATACAGATTCTGCCGCGCTTACTGGGAAACCCTGATGCTACCTGCATTCCTGCATGTACTTATACATCCACATTATAAAACACCCCACACACAAAGATACAATTCACACTACCTCTCAATTTCTCACACTACACATCTAAATATACACACACACACATGCTCAATAAACGGTACAGAGGGCAAAGTATCTATATGCTAATGATCAATGCTCTCTGTTGATTTCCTATTGACCTCAACTGAGTCTGCAGTCAGAGAGAAAATAGAAGCACTGAACACAAGCAGTTTACTGAATTGCTACATAAATCAGAAGCACGTTAGCAAACACTCAGAGAGAGCCTGCCGCATAGCATTGCCAATCACCGGTGCTGTTAGAGGCACTGTTGGCAATGTCCTGCAACAGACAGCAGATGCACAGGTAATAGTGCAGCATGCACGCATATTCAGATTTACAGAGAAAAGTCGGGGCGCAGGGATCAGGTGGGAGTGGAGGCAGGGATAAAGTAAGGAATTAAGCAAGACACTGAGTGTGTACCGAGAGAAAGGCTTGAACGATGTCTGCCTTGATGGAGCTGAGAGGCTTGTCTTTGATGACAATGAAGATCTGCTCTTCTTTTTCCAGGTTGATGAAGTTACCAAACCAGGATTTTTTGGCAAGCCTGTGGGGAAAAGACAAGAAGAGAAAAACGTGTTTATCAGCTGTAAGTTTATATTATATTGTTCTGTCTACTAGAGAGCGTTTGTCTTCCTTCCACCCTTTTTGCTTCCTTGTTAAAACCCACCCATCCAACCATCCATCTAACCATCTATCTATCCAGAAAAATCAAGAGCTGGTGAAGAGTTTCCTATTTCTCTCCCTCTCTTGTTCTCTCTCTTGCTCTCACTCACTCACTCACTCACTCACTCACTCACTCACTCACTCACTCACTCACTCACTGCAGCTCTGGAAAAATGTAAAGGAGCAAACGGAGGATACCCTGAGGGAAATAAGCCAAGACTGCGCAGGGGAGAAAAGTTTTCTGAAACTTCACCTTCTGTGCAACTGGGTATGTGTTAATGCATGTATGTGTATGTATGAGACAGAGATAAATGAGCCTCTATGTGAACAGAACTGTAGGTCCAACAGGGGAGAGGTAGATGAATTCACCATTAGCCCAAGTGTACTTGCACCCACTAATAAGCCATATGGACTCCTGTTTTGTGGCATATTAATATTTTATGAGATTTTTGAAAATGCGGATGGATTTGCGAGACTCACACACTCCCCGATACATAAATACTTCCATGATGTTACGTTTGCAGCGACATTAAGGGGCACATTTTCCTGCAGTAAGAAGCTGGTAACAGCTGGTGTGTGTCTATTAATATGATCAAGCCTAACCCAACTAAGAAGGTCTTTTCCAGCCATCTCTCCAACTCATTCCAGCCGGGATGTTCTTCTCAGCCAGGTAGAAATGGCCAAGCCATAGAGCCAGCAAACCAAACAGGCATATCTAGGCCAACCTTGAGTTATCAGGCCCCTGGGAGCTCAACAACATCACACAGGCTACCTTACCTCCCTCATAACCAACCCAGTACCTCCTGCTACAGTGCTGCTTCTCCAGCCCAGACCAGACCTGAGGTCATTACAGGGAACTCGGCAGGCACAAATCAAACATTCACGGATGTAATGCTTTCCAAATCCGCATGCTATCAAGTACCAACCTGTTTGGGCCAATGACTGAGGGGCTGACAGGTTATGCATAGTTATGATAGTGGTGGTATAGTGTCTACTCACTCTGGGGAAGACTCTGGTGTGAGGCTGGACATCTCCTCTTGTGTGGGAACTGTGGAAGCAAGGTTAAAGTTCAGACAAAAGTAGAAGGCTCAGTGAAAGAGAACAAGTAGATTGCCTTAGTGGGTAAAGTTAGTTTTATGGAGGGGTGAAATTAACACAAGATAATTCAGCGTTTACCGTAGAAATGTTAAATCTGCTGGAATGTCAGTACCTTGAAGTTTCCTGCGGTGGAAGCGTGGTGAGCCCAGGAAGCTGTTTTTGATGGAGTTGAGGCGTGTCCTCCAAGGCATGCCTCCGATGGAAGGGCTGGGGGGCGGCGTGGGGGTCGGGGTCCCGGCAGGGCTGTCCTTGGGAGTGTGCACCGGGGTGCCCTTTGGGGTGGGGAGGGGGCTGCCTCGAGGGGAGGGGTGAGGGGTAACCTGGATGAGCGGGATAGATTTGGGCGTGTGGTCAGTGAATGAAGAAGGCGCCGGCACCACGGGGTGGAAGTGGTGCAACCGGATGGGCGACAGGGGCACCACTGCACTGAAGGGCACAGGGAGCTGGGGGCTGGCAGCAAAAAGGGATCGCCGTACCTGGGGGCTATTTGGGAATGGAGCACTGGAGATGGAGGATGGAGAAAAGGGGGAGGACGGGGAGGAAGGAGAAGTAGGGGTTGGGGGCACAGAGGCAGAGGGCGGCTGTGGTGGGAGCTGGCAGGGAGATGAGGGCTCAGATTTGGCTGCAGATACTGTATCTGATGTTTCAGGGAGCGGGTTGGATCGTGTGGCTTGGAGGGGCTTCGGGACAACTTTGGGCTTGGTGGGTAGTGTCTGCGTCTTGTTGAGTGCTGCCGGCAGGGGCTCACTGTTTGGAGCGAGTGAGTTGGGGGTGGAGATACGGGGCCCTGTGCGATTAGGGGCGGGCTCAGGGGATGGGCAGGGGCTTGTGTTAGGGGACTGCGACAAGTCTGTGGACTGAGGCGGCACACAGAACTTTCTGACAGGCTGGAGTTAGAGGACACAGTGTGAAGACAAGCAGCACGATACAGCCAAATGTCAGATCAGGCGGAGGAGGAGAGGAAAACAAAGCAAAACACAAAGGAACACATGCAGGCACACAAGCACATAGATAAAGCAAGACAGAAAAGTGGAGCAAAACAAACAACCACACATCCAGAAGAAGAGGCAGACAAAGAATATAGAGGCAGGTAAGATGTGTGTGCACATGGGAGAGATGGAGGAATGGACAAAAAAGAAAGACAGAAAAGAAACATGCAGTTAGATCATTCAGTGACTCGTGCCAAAAGAAAACATACATGAAATGGGAACAACAAAAACAGCAAGCAATACACACAAATAAATAAAGAAAGAAAAAAGAAAAGAAAAGATGGACTTGACTTGAGTAAAACATACAGGGCTCTGCTGGCAGAGAAAAGCAAGCAGACACTAACATGTGTGAGAGACAAAAGGCCAGCAGTGAGGACAATTTGGGCTGTCTCAATATCAGGAGGAACACCGTTATGGTATCTCTGCTGTAAGTTTTATTGATCTGTTTTATTTGTAATTCTAAATTGCAGCCACAACGGTGCACTGATACAGTATTTCCTTTGGATGCCTCCCCTTTTTCCAGACACAAATCTGAGAAAATAACCCTCTTATTGAGAGCACAATCCAGGCTTTGCTCGGTCTGAGAAATCTATTTCCCTTTCAGATCAGCCTGACAGAACCTGTGTGGCGCAAAGGAGCTTGTCTTAGGATCCCGGCTAATCCCGAGCCTTCTCAGGTTAGTCAGCTGGAAAAGTTTACCACAAGCTCCCGCGCTCCGAGCAAGAAAAGTTGGATTTTCTGAAGCATTCCTGGAGCTGGATTTCCACAGAGCTCAGACCACAGAAAGCAAAAGCAGGGATAATATGCAGAAAGGCGAGAGAGAGAAGAAGCTTTTAGGGGAAGGTATAGTATTTTGCTGTATATTTTACTTTGAGTTAACGGAAAGATCCAACTATATAGACACATGTAAAGTCTAAATGAACACCGGATAAGAGGATCTTATCATAGTGGATCCATGCTTATCCCAAACGCAAAGGTAGATCTGAACTGTGATTTAAAACTTGAGGAAAAATGAACTATATTTCAGACTAATAATGAAGAGGAAAAGTCTACTATATTGCATGTGCGGAGAGATACAGGGATAACACTTTCATAATGAGCGTGCTGTGCATTGGTCAGACGCCTGGGCGATGAAGCTGTAGTGAGCGTCTTTATTTCCTCTTGTACAGTAAACGGCAATAAGATGAGATCAGCAGGAGTTGGATGGTCGTTATCCCTGAGCATGAACAACTACATACAGTACATGAGAACTGGGTCAACGGGTGTATGTTGCACATGTGTATGTGTGTGTTTGAAAGTACATAGAGGGTCGTGACTTACCCGTGGGCTGCTGAGGGGGCTGGTGGAGAGGCCGGAGGAGGCTCCACTAATAGACCGAGACCTGTGGAACAAACACGCACGAACACACACAAAGGGGCAGAGGTAATTTGTGGGATCAACACGTGTACTTGTTACAGGTTTCAGTGAACACAGGTGGAGGTGAGAGCTTGGAGGTGACATGTCGCACACAGTTAGAAAGCACCACAGTATATGTCACCATCATACCAAGCACAGTAGTTGTTATCAAGCCCTTTGCAAACGCAACACCTATTCACACAAAAAGCATGGAAACACAGGAACAGCACCAACTTGACAACATACATTACTAGCATTGACTAGCAGCAGTTGGTCTCAAACCAATTAAGCTCAAACTTTGGTTTCAAATATGCTGATTTGACTGCAGCTTCTCCCGTAAATCTTTAGGTTGCTTTCCACAGATTAGCATATGGATTAGCTTTCCGACCCGTCTAAAGTCTGCTAATAAACCAAACATGTTGACTTTTGGGCCTTCGCACTGGATGAGTAGAAAATATCTTGAGGGGGAAATGAAGTGGGACATTTGGTTGAGTGCCATTTGTCATGTTTTTCTTTCCCCCCGCAGATGCCGTCAATAACCCCTATGAGCAGAGCCCTGCTCAGAAACGAACAATCACAGGACAATCTGTCTCCATCAAGGGCCCACGCACACATGTACGCACACATACACAACACACAAAAACAGAGCCTGTCAACACTTGGAAACACCAGCTGCTCACTGTCACAACACTGTTCCGTTTTGTCATTCAATCTAACAATACCCCC